GCCCGATGCGGGGCTCAATCCCAGGACCCTGGGATCATGACCTGAGCCGAAGGCAGATGCTTAACGACTGAGCCACCCAGGCGCCCCTGGATCCTGTTTCTTCTGTGTGTTCCCTACATAGGAGACACAAAGCACTCTCATCTCATGATTCCTACCAAAGAAAATGCAAACTTGCTAACCTGAGTCAGTGTTAAATGCCAAATGTGTGTCTTGAAATTTTTTGCTTATTGCCTGGTCTATTTTATGTTTCTGTGTATTCCTCTTGACGCTTTCAAAGTGACAAGGAGCTTTTATGCTCATATGGAGGATGTCAGGTATCTACCTAAAGACTTATTTGGGGACAAAAACCCAATTAAGATGAACATTAAAAAGAAGCTTTCAAAGAGGCAGGAGAAGTAGAAATAAGAGGAAAGAGTTAAAATTCATTGGTTTAAAACTATTCACTAAGAAAGTCAGGGTTCTGGGCAGCCTCTGATGAACTTCACTAGAAGGGCTCTCTAGGGGGACCCCTGTCCACAGAGAAGAATCAGAACAGAGTGTTATCTGTACATCATAACAATGTGTGGGTTTTGCTTAAGGCTTTGTTTCAAATAACATTCTGTCTCTAAAAAATATTTGACTCTCTCTGTTTTGGGATATGCAATGAGGGACTGTGAACCCAAATTGAACATTGTGGTCTTTATGGGGTTGTGGGACCCTTTGATGGGCTGCCATGGTGCAAGAAACCAGTCTGTGCTGGGCAGTTGGGGCTTGGTTTGGGGTAACTGATGTGGAGACAGAGAACGTGGCAGGAAAAGCATGTGTTTATGTAGTCTGCTCCACTAGCCAGTGCTGTTTTAATTTCTCTCTGTTTAATTTTAGGTCTTCAGCTCTGTAAAAGCTATTCTCGATCTTTCTGTTTTTCGGAGTCAAGTCCCTCTAGAAAGTCTGGTAATGGACCTGAAAAGGAAAAACCCAACTTTATGCTTCAGTCCTTTGGAACCCAATGGAAGAATCTCCATCCAAGGATCATTTCTGGCTATGCAGAAACTCAAAGAATCTTTGCTATTAAAAGCAAGTTCTCTTTTAGAAAAAAACAGGAATTTTATCAGTGAGGAGAAAAGATGGAATAGGCAGAACTCCAGAAGGCAGCTCCAGAGAAGTAGCTCTTTGGAGTCACTCGGGTCCTCAGTACCTGAGGCCACCAAGAGAGGAGAAACGCTTGTTCTCGACACAGATATTTTCCTTTACCTCAAAAAGAGCAGATTTTATGAAAGCACATTGAAAAACTGTCATGTTTTCTGTGAGGAAAGAGTGGATGGTGCAATTACCACAATTTGTATAAAAAATGCTCAAGAATGTTCTCAGCCAAACAATGCAAAGGTTGTAAAAGCACTTTTTGAGGAATATTCACTTGCTCTTCACTTCGAGCTTAGAAAGGAGACACTTACTTTGAAAGGAAAGGAGAGTCGAAATAAAAGAAATATTAAGTTGGCATGTGAACAGCTAAGTTCGAGGTTCCCTCAGGTCCTGATAAATTTTTATGAGACACACATTGACATTATAGGATCTTCTTCTGACACAAACTTGTTTAAAAAAGAGGTTATGAAATTAATAAGGTTAGACAGGTGATGAGATCTCAGCTGTAATAATGCCAATGGCAGTCGCTTTTCCTTACTGAGTAGTGACGATGCTGTAACTGACGCTGGCTTTACACACATGATCTCACTTAATCCTCGCAACCCTCCTTCAGTGTAGGCATTGCTATCCTCATGTTGTAGGGGAAGAACCTAGGACTTGGAGAGGTTAAAACTTTTATCTGGAGTTATCCAGGGGGGAAGGAATGGGGCTGGGGTTAAACTCAGCCTATCTGACTACAAAATGCTGGCAAAACTCTCTTGAGAAGCTACTTTGATTGAAAGTACTTCCCAAGCAGGTAATCATTACTTGACTAAATCCGATTGGTACGAGGCCGCTGGACCATATGGGACATTTTTATTGTTGCTTATTTAGCCTAAGTACCTATAGAAAATTTTGGTTCTGTTAGAATTACGAAGAATTACAAAGTATAGTGTCTTTTTTCTTTATTCCCCCCTTTATTTTATAATTGTATGGTTAAAGTAATAGCATTTAAGGAATAAAATCATGGGTGCTTCCTTAAAGATGACGGAAGGATTTGAAAATTCTTTGCTGGGGTGCCCGGGTGGCTCAGTCGTTAAGCATCTGCCTTCGGCTCAGGTCATGATCCCAGGGTCCTGGGATCGAGCCCCGGATCAGGCTCCCTGCTCTGCGGGAAGCGTGCTTCTCCCTCTCCCATTCCCCCTGCTTGTGTTCCCTCTCTCGCTGTGTCTCTCTCTGTCAAATAAATAAATAAAATCTTAAAAAAAAAAAAAAGACAATTCATTGCTGAAGAAGGGAAAACAAGAGCTTGTAAGTTATTTGGTTGTCTATGACTCCCCTGAATTTAACTTTGGGATAGTTTTAAGTGCCTAGGGCATATTATCCTAGGATAATAAAATGTATACATCTTGCTCATCTCAAAGTAAATAAATGTGATCATGATGATGTAAACTGTTTATATTAAAAGGAAACATAAGACAACTCTCTCTCTATGCTTTCATTTTTCTTAGCCATCTAAATCCCAAATATTTCCGTCTTTTAAAATACGGTATTTCGTTGTTTGAATAAACTTTTTTTTGTCATGGCAAGCTGCTGTTTATATCAAGTACCCAATAAGATGTCTTTAAATTAAAAAGATGCTTCATTTTTATTTTGCTTCTAGGAGTTTGTCGCAGTCTGGGTCCAATCAGGAGAGAGAAGGCACACGGCAGTTTGAATAGGGAGAGTTTAATATAAAGAATTGTTAATTATAATAGGGGATTAGAATAATGAGGGATTGGCTAGTAAGAAATAAAGAGAACTCTAACAAATATCTTGCTGGAAATCCATCCTCTAGGTTGCTGGAGGAAACTGCTTAGAGGAAGTGTCTTACCAGTGACATTCCATTACACAATGTACTCGGGCGTTGCTGGGGGAAGCTGGCCATTATGCTCTTACAGGCCCTGAGTGCTGGGGAGGCCTTGTGTGCCGGGGGCTGAGCTCATGCTGCATGAGCTTAATGTTGGAGAAGCTGCCCATGCTGTAGAAGCAGGGTACCGAGAGAAGCTTCCTCTGCGGACAAACTGGATCCCTAATAGCCTGCCAATTAACAATTTGAAGTGGGGAAAAGACTTTCCTCTTGCAGTGTCTCTCCAGCGCCCTCTACTGAGAAAACTTAACATCCTATCAGCTACAGAGGAAAAATATTGAAGGGTCCCAGATTCATTTTCACAGAGTAGGCACATAGGATGAATTTAAAGCAGAGTCAATAAATTGATGACTGACAGAGTTTAATTTGATACCTACTAAGGCTTTCGTTATTATCACAAATTTAACACCAACAGAATAGTCTTTAAACAAAGAGCTGGATCAGAAAAATGATGTTCATTCCATGATCAGATAGACATTGATTTACAAGTATGGATATAGCATCTTCTGCTTGACATTATGTATTTCAGATGTTTTTACATGTTGCTGTGCCTTTTAGATTTGTTTAACAGCACTTTCCTTATAATATGCTAGTTGTATAATCAATTTCTATCTTTAATAAAAACCGATATTTTTTCCAAAGTGGCAGTAGTGACTTTCATTAAAATTTATTTCTGAGGTTACTGATGCCCAGGCAGATGATGTGAATTCCAGGCCTAAACCCTGTTGTATGTCTGCAACCGGGAGAAAAATCTATCATTTAATTAGATAATAAGTTGATACTTTTCAAAGAGGCTGCTGGTAGTGAAGAGGGCCATTATCCAGTTAAAAAAAGAGGACATAAGAGATTCAGATCAAGACAGACAAAGGAGGAGAGTGGGAGAAAGGATTCCAAGGCATTTAGTTAAGAAATGCTTTCAGAAATACTTGTTGAGCTCATCCTCTGGGACAACCATTCTGCAGGATTCTGGAGACAATGATGGGATGTTAAGACAGAAATGTTCACTGATTTCCTAGAAGTCACTGCTTAGTCTGGCAGAGAAGGCAAACAAGCTATTACCTTAGTGCTTGCTACAGTAGTTGGTGTAAGGTGGATGGGACTGTCAATTGTTACCTAGGATATGTTAACCATTTTCAAATTATTTGCATAATTTTCATAGAAAAAGATAATGAGCATGTGTCAAAGTTTTATTTGCCTTATCGAGGAGTAAACTAACAGAATGACAATACTGGTTGAAAAAGAACATGAGAAATAGAATTTAAAAATCAATAGGGATGGGGCACCTGGGTGGCTCAGTCGTTAAGTGTCTCCCTTCGGCTCAGGTCATGATCCCAGTGTCCTGGGATCGAGCCCCGCATCAGGCTCCCTGCTCTGCGGGAAGCCTGCTTCTCCCTCTCCCACTCCCCTTGCTTGTGTTCCCTCTCTCGCTATGTCTCTTTCTGTCAAATAAATAAATAAAATCTTTTAAAAAAATCAGTAGGGAAAAGCATGTTCATAAAGATTGCTAAACTAGAAACAACGTTGATCAGTGTCCAATGAGGCTATAAGACTGTGTTTTGGGGGGTTGTTTTCTCTGCTAGACAGAAAAAAATAATCACACTTTATCATGTTCTATAGAAGTTAAAGCTCTAACTGTACTGAGTTGTAAAAGGTCAGTGCCCCAATCAATTGTGATATTAAGTGAAATGAAGTTACGTTCCCCAAAAGAGATGACCCACTAGTGGGCTTATTGGAGCATGTCTAGCAAGGCATTAAAAGGTCACATAATTATTTTTTGCCTTATTTCTGTGTTTTGAGTAATTTTCTTTAACAAGGGTCAGAAGAAGCTTCCCAGAGGCTATGAGTTGATGGGTGGGTGTTAGCTCAGTGAAGAGATGAGGAGGGAGGGCAAAACAGCACTTGGTTTGGTAGATGAAAGCCAAGTTTAGGGATGGCTGAGTTTTGACAGCTTAGTTTTTACAAATTTTATTTGATGGACAAGATTATTTGATTCCTCAGTAAGAGAGACACACATACAAAAGTGTAGAGGGAAGGAAATGTCTAATTTCCTTTGTGAATCTTTCCATATAAATCATGTTGGTGGCAATGTATGGATTTTCCCAAAGACAGTAATTTAAGAAACTTACCTATCAGTGCTTAGATTTAATTCCTCTAGGATCATTTCCTGGTGTAAATACTGGTCTAGGAAAATAAAAACTCTTTCAACTCCAGTGGACTCTATTCCATATTCTCCACCCATCCCTTCTCTCTTTTTTTTTTTTTCCTAAAGATTTTATTTATTTGACAGAGAGAGACAGCGAGAGCAGGAACACAAGCAGGGGGAGTGGGAAAGGGAGAAGCAGGCCTCCCGCCGAGCAGGGAGCCCGATGTGGGACTCGATCCCGGGACCCCAGGATCATGACCTGAGCCGAAGGCAGACGCTTAACGACTGAGCCACCCAGGCGCCCCCATCCCTTCTCTTTCATCTTTCACTTCTTCCAAATTCGGTGATTCTGGGAAATTTCCTAACCCTTCTAGCTTCAGTGTGCTTATGTGTAACCTGAAAATTGTACCTATTTTCACAGGGTTATTGTGAGTTTTAGAAATCATGGTAGGTAAATATTCAAAAATAGTAGTCATTATTCTTAAGAACTTAGTAATACCAACACCCCAAGAAAAGCTCCCTCTGCTTGGAATGCCTCATCTCAGGGTAGGCACAAACATGTAACTCCAGGTAGAAAACCAAGCATTGTTTTGGACTTTTTCCTCTTCTTTTTATTACCTTAGATCAGGCCTGTGTCATTTCTTGCCTGGGTTAGTGAGTTGAATAGTATCCCCTCAAAATTCAGAATGTAGGGGCGCCTGGGTGGCTCAGATGGTTAAGCGTCTGCCTTCGGCTCAGGTCATGGTCCCAGGGTCCTGGGATCGAGCCCCGCATCAGGTTCCCTGCTCGGCGGGAAGCCTGCTTCTCCCTCTCCCACTCTCCCTGCTTGTGTTCCCTCTCTTGCTGTGTCTCTCTCTGTCAAATAAATAAAATCTTTAAAAAAAAAAAATTCAGAATGTAACCTTATTTGGAAATAGGGTCTTTGCAGATGTGATTCATTAAGATGACATCATGCTGGATTGGAGTGAGGCTTTAACCCAGGGACTGGTGTCCTTATAAGAAAGGGAGAGGACACTGAGACTCAGAGGAGAATGGGGTAAATTTCACGTGACAACGGAGGCAGAGGGTGGCCCGATCAGCTATAAGGCAAGGAGTGCTAGGGATGAATGGGAACCAACAGGAACTGAAAAAGGCAAGGAAGAATTCTTCCCTAGAGTCTTCAGATGGAGCTTGATCTTGCCAACCCCTTGATTTTAGACTTCTGGCCTCCAGAACTGTGAAAGAATAAATTTCTGTTGTTTTAAGCCACCAACTTTGTGGTAATTTGTTATGGCAGCTCTAGGAAACCAATACACATGGATTTCTTTCAAAACAGTTCCTGGGAGCCTCTGATCTTTACAGTTGGTTTTGTGTGTGGGCTTCTGTTGTATACTCTATACGCCCCTCTCTTGTGACAGCATTTCAGAGTACATTTTGTTTGTTGGTTTCTTGTCTTCCTTTCTGACTCTGTGATCTCCTTGAGGCCAGGAATTTTGTCTATTTCTACTTTATTTATTCTCTGTTTATAATACTATGTGTCCGGCACATCATAGACATTCCACAAATACCTATGAAATATATGAACAATTTTTGTGCTCCCACAGAATTTATGCAGGATTTTGTACTGAAATAAGCATCTCATAAATGTGTGTTCATTGGTCCAGGAATTTTCTTTTTATAGTCTTCCCACTTGCCAACATCAGAATACTTATATTGATCTTTTACCCCTTTAGAATGTGTCCTCAGTTCCTACTTGTTAAATTACTTCAATGTAGGGAATTCTGGCAAGAGAAACTCAAGCAACAAGGTATCCCTCTCTTTTACATTCTTCTCATGCAGGTTGGTCAGTAATTGCTCCTAGCAGGAAGGCACTAAGCATATTCCCTGAAAGTGCCTGGGATAGTTCTTTCCATTTGCCTAGTTCCTGACTGGGTTTCGCCAGTGAGACAAAAAGTCCCTTGTGATTTAATTAGATAGTTATGAAGATTTGCTGGGTCTGTCTACTCTTGTATCTGGTTATTGTCAGCGCTAGGAGGTCAATGGGGGGACTTCTCAATGTTTATAAGCAGTTTACCCATTAATGCTTGAGATATTAAGACATTTAACCAGTAGAAAA